AGTTTGTCAAAACAATGACTGTAATTGTCCTACCTAAAAAGCAAACAAAATATAAAGATAAGGTAATCTGTTTTTCCACTCTTAATGTTTGTGTTTTATCCATATATGTATGTAGGAAATCAGAAAAAGTACCTATGAAGAAAGGAAACTTGGAAATATTTGTTACATTTTCCAGAGTCTCCCACGAGTAAATCATAGTTTCCATTCATACATGACAATAAAACGTGAGCCTTTCAGAGTCTAAGGGCTGCAGGAAAACCCTTGAAAGTGTCAGTTCTTGAAACCAACATACCAGCAAGAAAATAAGAATGATTTCACAATTATTTTCATCTTCTGTTACATAAAAGTCAAGTTTTTCATCCATAGCAATTTGATGATTTCCCCAGCAGATTTCATTTGCTATCTTTCTCTGACTACCTTGCTGGTAAAAATGGATTAAGTTATCTTCTTGTGCTGAAGATGGTCATGGTTACTTCTTCTCTACCAGCATCTCCAGCCTGAAACCCTGACCTGCTTTTCTGAATCTCATATAACCTTCCTTAATTGCTCTACACACACCTGAACTAACTTTTGTCTTTTAAGTTGGCCTACTTTCTTGGCCTACACACACACCAGTAAATCAGTCCATCTAGAGCTCCTGCCAGGGTGTTTGCTTTTTTCCGTCAGTTACAGATTCTCTTCTCTGGCTTTGGTGGACACATGCCTACTTCACTCACTTGAGTTTCGAGCCAAGCTATGAGGCGAGTTATCCCACCTGCTTCTGCACTCTTTTGGCGATGTCCTCCCCTAGCGTGACACACAAACTGCTTTTAGTCCCTGTCCAGCTCGCTGGCATTATCACATAGCCAGAGTGTTGTTTCCCTGGGGGCCATACAGACAGCAGCAGCAGCCCTGATCATGCAGTTGCAGATGTTTCTAATGTGCACCATTCCCCCTGGAAGAGAGACCACAGCAACGCCTTTTTTCAGTGCACTCTGTTAACTGGTATTTCTGGACGTCACAGCTTGGGCGCTCCCTGCAGTAGCTGCTATCCTGTCCTGTTTGCTGGTGCTCTCCTCGCTGCTGCGTCCTTGATGGTAAGCTCTCTAAGGAAGAGATTCTCCTTTTACCACGCATTCCTACTTGCCTAGGATATTAGTTGAAGAGTAACAGCTGCAGCAAGAACAACAGGATCTAACAGTTAATCACACTGTGCAATAAATGTGAAAGCATTGCCAGTTGCTTGCAAGGTGCTATTGACCTTGATAACTCCCCCCCTTTTTCTGCAATATTCTGTTTGACCATTGTTGCTTTTACTATTGAAATATTTTCTCATTATGACTGCTCTTACTATTGTGTTATTTTTCTCATTGCTTAGCAAGTTCAAGTGTGTCTTGTATTTTCTCTACTGTCGAAGGTACATGATATTCATTATTATTGCTTCCTGAAACTCACCTGTCCTGCGCTGTCCTCCTGCCCCAAGTCTTAATTCCCTGAGTTCCTATTTCCTCTCTGGATTTTGAATAATAATTATTCACCATCTGGACATGAGTATCCTGTGCCAGTTCTCCTTAAATCAGAGTACAATTTGAAATCCCCAGTAAATAGCACTGTACTGGTCTAAAAAAAAAGGAGATCTTGAATTAACTTACCTTTGCGAATTATCAGTACAAGTTTTCTGGGTGTGACCCAGGTTAAGGAGTTTAAGAATGTCCACACAAGGACTTAAATCCACCAGCAGTGGATTTAAATTCATGCCCTAAACCACTTCAGTTTTCTTTGTGGACCAGGCCTGAGAGACTATAGACAGAGTAAGTTATTTACAGTGAAACATTGCTAGTTATAGTTATTGCTATTTGAAACATAAGCATTGTGCTTCTTTAAGGACAACTCTTTTGTCTACAAGTATGACATACCCATGAAAACAAATAAACAGTGCAACTTTATATATTAGAACATATTTTATACAGGCATCTGCAACATTGCTTCTTGGCTGATGGCCAGCAAAACCATTAGCAGCAACTAATAGCATGGAAGGAAATTTTCTTCCAGTCCTATTTTCTAACTGCTAGGAAAGAAAACTAAAAATAGACTTTAGAGGTTTGGGGACCAAACTGCAAAAGCTGGGAGAGCTCTGTTAACTTACAGCTGCTCTGTGGCTTTACACTCTCTGAAGATCTGGCTCACTGATTTCATCAGAGGAAAGATTAGGAGTGAACCAAAAGAGGGAGATTTGACTCCAGCTATGCACTAGTTTTATTTGTGGTTTAGAAAGACTTATTTTTCTCTAGTTATAATATAAACGGTCATTAGAAATTGAATGCTTTGCTCCCTACTTACAATTGGTAATTATATAAATGCTCCCCAACTTTTATAATATTTAATAAAGAATTTGAGAGTCAATTTTAAGCATGCCTGTCAAACAAACCCTGACCAAGTTGCATGGGCTCCTCTTTTTCATGATGTATGTCTAGTCCCTTTCCATGCCACTCCAAACATTCCATTAATCTTCCTCATCTCACGTGGTTTGTATCTGTGCAGTTCCCCCAGACAACCTGTTGATTAAATCTTCTTAAACAGGAAATGCTGAATTTGCAGCTCACAGTAATTCCTCTGTTTAATCTCTTTCCTGAGCCTCCCTTTGAAGATGATCCATTCTTCACCCTCCTCTCAGATTTCCACTTTCTCTTCATTGCTGTCCCCAAGGATTGCCTCCAGTTCACATCACCCACCAGCCAGTTTTGGAGATCCCACCCCCTCCTGACTCCACAATGCAGAAGCAGGTCCCACACCTCTGTCACTCTACTCCATGCATCTAAGTCAGCTCTGTGGCCTAAGGACCACATCCCATGGGCACTGATTTTGGCCTTAATTAAATCTCATTTGGCAACTGGTTTTCTTACAGTGCAATTTAAGACCTAATTTTGTGTGAGAACTTTTTTTCTTAAAATAATATTTTCGTTGAGTTTTATAATGTGTCAATATAACTTGCTATAGGATTGAGATCTGGCACAAAGCTTTTATTTAAAAAGTACATGGAGCTCTTCCTCTTTTGGTGGAGCTAGGTTTATTGGTTGATTTTCAGGTAGAGTACTGTATTTCATTGCTTATTCAGTGTTGATACGGAAGCCAAATCCTACCCTCTTTTAATACATGCTACTGCTTTCATAAAAGGAAGTTGTATAGTTTCTCTGGCACAATGAGGAAATGCAAACAGAACATAACTTTCAGAAACCTTTGTACAACTTCCACGCAGATGATTCATTTGCTGAACATAAAAGCTGCAAACATGAGAAAAGAGGGAAAAGGGCTTTTATTTTTTTCATCTGGTAGCACTTTTCAAATTTGTTAGTTTACAACAAATCCTGAATCAGAAATCCATTGTAAGAAATATGACGTCATAACTGACAAGTTTTTTCTAGACCAGGACATACAAGCTCTTAACAGTAATATAAAAGAGAAATATAAAAGTGGCACCGCTATCTCTAATTCTTACCTCTCTGACTCTTACAGTAGCATTTACAGACCTTGAGTCAGGCAGCTTAGCAATCTCTGAGTGGAGGAAAGAAAGGGAAACTTGAAGAAAACATGACTGAACTTGGTGCATTTCTCAGCTGTAGATTTGAGTTAAGTGCAGCTGAAAGGATGGGTTTATGGACTTTTGGATTCAAATCATCCGTTTGGATAGAATCAGCTCACCTACAGTTTCAAGACACAGATGACAATGGCAACGCAGCTTCCATTTTGCAGAAAAGAGCTCCATCAAAGGAACTAGGTGTCTCAGATTTTAGACTCTATCCAAAATGACTTGAGACCATAACTTCTTACTTCTCCTAGCACCAGCGAGACCCACCGTTGAGACTGGAGCATGGCTGCACAGAGCCAGTTGGAAGGGAGCTCAGTAGGAAGGTTAGGAGGTCACGGGCTCCAGCACATGTCCCCCTGGTTATTTCTGCTTTTTTTTTTAATCAAATGCTTCTCTGTACAACATATAGGCACACAAAAAGCTGGGAGCAAAACACAAGGCCTCTTTCCTGCTAGCCAGCAGGCTATAAAGTTAGGTTTCCTTTACCTTTTATCCCAGTTTCTTGCTTCCTATCTGCAATGCTGGTCCAGCTTCAGTGTGAAGAGCAATCCACAGACTTGGGTGCTCCATGGCAAGGCGGGAGCGGGGAATGGAGGTTAGGTGCTCTGCAATGAAGCCTCCCACCTGCTAAACTACAAGAATATTGTGTATATTCCTGCCATCCCACATTTGCAAATAAAAGGCATCCTGACAGCACCGCTGCCTGAAGAGTCCTTTGGGTTTGCATATACCAGGATGCCTCCTTTATTCATGCAAAACAACTGTAGGTGGGCGATAGGTGCCTACATGTTGAAACTACTTGAAGCAGCAGGAGTTATGGACCATCACAGAACTGACTTTAGACACTTTTGCAAAGCCAAAACCTGAGATGCCAAGAGATTCCCAAGTGCTGATAATGTCCACTAAAAATCCTTTTGACTTAAGTACTTGTTTAGGCATCTTCAGTGACATTTAGGTGCCCTAAAAATGCCTTTTTGTTTTTTAACTCTTTCCTGGAATATCTCAGCTACTCTTAAGGCAAAAGCTGTAGGCAAGTTGAAGTTACCAATCTGGGCAGTCATGTGTCAAGCCATGTCTTTTAGTGTTTCTTTCTTCTGAATGCAGGCCATAGTACACAACAGAGGACAGCGATATCAGCTTCCACCCATAGCATTGCATGTGCCCGACTACTGATGTTTAAATTC